GGGGCGGCGGCCGGGGGAGGGGCGGCAGGTGAGAGGGCGGCGTGTCTGGGCCCTGGCGGCACGCGAGACTCCAAACGCAAACCCCGCAATGGTACTGGGGAGGAATGGATTTAGCGACCCCAGGCCAATGCCGAGAAAGTAGCCCCTGCCCTCCCTCCGTCCCCTGCCCCCAGGCGCTTGGTCCCCTCAGTGCTGGGACTCTTGCAGCAAAGGACCTTGTTGCGCAACCCGTGCGCAGGGGGAGGATTGGGGCCCGGCCACCCTACACCTGTTGCGCGGGCAGATTTCATCCTAGTCTGGCCAAGATGGGGGTTCCCTTCCTCACTTCCTTGCCAAGGACTGTGCCAGGCATTGCCAAGGCATCGTGGGAACTGGCGTAGGGAGGGGCTGTTTTAGGCGAGCCTAAAGGGAAGAGGAAAGAAACCAGAGAGCCGAGGTCGGGGGATGGTCGTGGCTTGGACAGAAGGTGAGAGAGCCTGGCCACGCGGGGGTTGGGAGGGGGAAGGGCAAGTGTCCCCAGAGTCACTAGTGTAAGGCCAGATCCCCTCCTTAGCAAAAGGATGAGGCTGGGCTGGGGTGCCTAGTTTCTGGGTTGGAGCCACATGTACTGCTCTACCAGTCAGTCTCCTTCAAAAGGGGCGCCCAGATTTGACGTTGGAGACTGAACAGCAGCCCTTATCTTGAGGAAACTTCCTCAAAGATCCACCCATTTGAGCTCCAGAGCAAAATGATTCTTTTGAATATTGATGGCCTACCTACCCCTTCATCCCCTCCCTCCCCGTGCCCTGGGGGTGGAGGTGGATGTGAGGTAGACGTAGGGTTACACTTGGAGAGCTTCAGAGCTCAGTCCTCCACTCCCAGTGTCTCACACCCACAAGGGTGAATCCGCAATTTGCTCATCCCTTTTCTTCCTGGGCTACAGGGGAATGAGTAAACCAAAACTCTGACAGGGTTGGGTGAGATCTACGGTAGGAAGCAGCACTGTACGTGGGAGAGAGAGGAAGACCACCCGAACCAATTAGCTTCCCACTTATGTCACTGGTTCATGTTCCCTTAGCAAGAAAACGAGAAGGGGCCTCATCTTAAGACTATCTTCAGTCTGCCTTTAGTCTGTCACCATCCTGTGAGTGGTGCATTCCAGCCCTGCCCAGCATCTTCCTCCTGCTGGATTTGGTAAACAACTTTGTTGGAGCCCCTGTGGCTCACTATTGGGGGAAGCAATCTGCTTTCACGGTTCCCTCTCCTGAGGCCAGCGCCATTTGGGGTTTGGTTGTATGTTGGATTCTTCTGTATTGGAAGTTCCCAGACACTGTCTTCTCACTTTGTGCCCTCTCCCAGTTCCTCAGTATGCCTTATATCCTCTTTTATTCTCTGTCTCTTCAATTCCTTCTGTCCTTCCAGAGGGGCAGAAAGGAGGCATGAAATGTGAAACGATAAGACCGTCAAGGTGCTCTCTCCTGGGAGATGATTCTAATGAAGAAGACAGCTACTGGGGCTTCTGATTCTCTCCCCAGTCCCTGAATTTACTCTCCTGGCCTCTCCTTTAGGGACTCTCCCCACCCCCAGGGTGTCCATGGGATTGTAGGTAACAGTGGATCTGCCATCAACCTCACTCCTTCCTTACACACCTTGTTGTCTTCATCCACATCTGGGACAGTGGTGTCTAAGTCTGCAAACAAAGCATGAATTGCCATGCTAACCCCGCCCCCCCACCCACCCACGGGAGATGTGTTCAGGTTCCTCATACCTGGCCCAACCCCTGGGTCCTGCAGGAGCTTCGGAGCCTCTCCCTGGTTCCCTTCTCTGAGTTGCTACTCACTGCCGCCTTCCATTTCTCACCTTACCCACACCTGCCTACTCTAGTTCTTATGCCTGTCCTGTAACAAGACATGTGCCTGTCAGTATCCATGTGGTCCCTAACCCCTTTTCTTTTCCCTGGCTGAGCATAAGAAGAGAAAGCTGAGGAGCGGGGAGGGGAGAAAGGATTCAAGGAGAGGATTCCTCCTGCCTTCCTCTTTCTAGGAGAGAGTCATTAGAGTGGTAGCTGGCAGGTACTCAAGGCATGCAAGCAGGACATGGGGGTCTTGGTGGCGGTGGGGAGCCTGAATAACCAGGTTTGGGAGTTGGAATTCTTGGGAGTCTCCAGAATGCATTCTGGCTTCTCCTATAAGTGCACCAGGAAGCGGGACAGATCCCAATCCCTGAGTGTTGAATGGGGAAGCTGAGGCAGGAGCTAGGACCTCTAGGAAGTCCTCCCCAGCAGCATTTAAGATCTGGACAAAGCCAAAGCCCCTAGCATTTAGCTGCTGGGAGTCGGGGGGGGGGGGGGGGGGGCGGTGCTTGGCAGAGTCCTCCTCAGTCCTCACATCTAGCCCCTTTCCTGGCTCCCCAGACAGTCCTCCCTCCCCCCGCCCCCACCCCATCCCAGTCCCAGTGCTAAGAAGCTGCCAGCACTGGCCGCTCCCTCCTTTTCTACCTGCCACCTCTACCCTTAGCCTCACCTACTCGGCCTCCCTCCCTCCCCATCGCTGCAGTGTCCCCCAAATGCGAGCCCTCTTCCTAGCTCGGAGTGGGGCTCTCCTCCCACCCACTGGGGAGGGGACCCTCGCGTTTACCTCATTCAGCGGGAAGGTTGCACTGGAGTCAGAAAAAGACATAGACCGGGCTGGCGGCCTCTCCCCCTCCCCCGGGCCAGGGGCTCGGAGGCAGGAGCAGGACCGGGCCGCTGCTCTGCCCACTGGCTCCCGCCTGCACGCCTGGCCTCGCCCCACGACCGCCAGGCTCCGACGGCTGCTCCCTTCCCTCTCTCCGGGTTCCCTCCCCCTTTCCTCCTCCCTCCTTCCCTCCCTCCCTTCTCTCTTCCTTTCTCTCCGCCTCTGTCACTCTCTCCCTCCCCTGTCGCCTTTCAGTCCTGCTCTCTCCATTTCCGTCTCTTCCTCCTCTCTACGGTCCATGTTCTCTTCGCACGCCTGGCCTCGCCCCACGACCGCCAGGCTCCGACGGCTGCTCCCTTCCCTCTCTCCGGGTTCCCTCCCCCTTTCCTCCTCCCTCCTTCCCTCCCTCCCTTCTCTCTTCCTTTCTCTCCGCCTCTGTCACTCTCTCCCTCCCCTGTCGCCTTTCAGTCCTGCTCTCTCCATTTCCGTCTCTTCCTCCTCTCTACGGTCCATGTTCTCTTCATCTGGGTGCCTGCCACTGTCCTTCCATCCCTATATCTTGCCTCCCTTCTCCGACCCCCCCTCCCCCATCTTCTTCCTCAAACCCCTCCCCAGAAAAGATAGGGACTCCGGAGCTCCCACCACCATAGGCAGAAGGGCGGGCAGTAGCTGGGGGGCTGCCTGGACTCCGGAGCTTTAGGCCCCTGCTCTGTGCGCCCGGCGCCCATCCTCCAGCGCCCGAGGAAGAAAGGCGCGCCGCGGTCCCAGCGACGGCTTCGACCTGTCCTCAGCAGAGGAAAGGATCGAAAAGGAAGAATGCTTGTGTACAGCTCGCTAGCTCCAGCGTCAAGCGCCCCCTCTGGGTTCCGGGGAAGCTGTCCTGTCACTGCTCTCTCCTGGGTTCCGGGGCCGCGGGACTCAGCCCGCAAAGGCGAAGAGCGAGGCGAGGCGGCTCCTCTCCGACCGGCTGCAGCGCCCCCTGGGCTCATTCGCCCGGAGGTCGCTCACGCCTTCCAGGTGGTGGCACCCGTCCGGGGTCCCGTCTGTCGGCCGCCAGGGGTCCGGCCCTGCCAGCAGGAGGCGCTGCCCTGGCCAGAGCAGAGGCGGCGCAACTCGGAGCCAGACCCCCTCCGAAGCCTAGGACGATCCCCTCACCCGTTCTTCTTTCCAGGAACTGCGGTCCCACCTCCAGACCCCTAGTATGGGACTCCAGGCTGCACCCTATCCCCACCCCCGTGGGGCTCCTTTGAGATCTTTGGCTCTTCTGGGGCCCTGGCCGCTCCTACCTCCATCCTGGTCTCCGGGGGCGCCTCCTCTAAGCCCGGCAGCGTCCGGGCCGGGCCTGGGTAGCAGGGAGTACGGAGCCGCGGGACCGGTACCCCCTCCCGCCCCGTTCGGCGGGCACATCAAATAGGACAAGCCCAAGTTCTGGCGGGGGAAGGGGGGAGCAGGGGTGTAGCCCCAGCCAGCTCTCTCCCTGCACCCTTGTGAGCGGATCAGCTTCTCATTGGTCCCTCCAAACCCCCAATACCCCCAGGCTGGACACTCCTCCATACCAAAGACGGCGGCTGGAGGGAGGCGGCGGCCGACTCCGTTGCGGAGACAGGTTCATCCTGAAGCAGAGTGACCCGGGGTCCTCAACGTCTCTCTCGGCATCAATTAGAACTCTTCCCTTTTCAGATCGAGGGCATTCCACTCGCCTCCTTGGCTCTTCTTTTAAGTCCTTTCCCCTGGGGGTTTCCGAACCTCCCCCACCCCATCCTTCCACCCTCTGGGGATCTTGGAAGACTTTCCTCCCTCTCTGTTCAGCTGACCCTGCCCTTACCCCGCATTCCAGAGGGAGGTGCATTGGGGGAGAATCAATTCTCCTCTT